GCCTTCCCCACTGGCTGCCCCTTTACCTGGGTGAGGAGGTTCATCTGCAAGGAGAAAACATGATGTTGAGAGAGCTGGGGATACGAGGCCATGCCCAGCCCCACCTCAGGAACCTCTCTGTCCCCAAAAAGTTATCACCCTGACAAGACCCAAACCATGGCCCCGGGCACCGTGCCAGCCGGGCCACTCCTGCCATGCCTGGCTACCTTGCCTTGGGGACGCCTCCGAGGTCCCCTTGCTCCACGGTGCTCCCAAAGCAGCTGCTGCTCCAAAGGTGGCTGTGGGGCAGGACTTCAACCTGCCCCGACGAGCACCGCCGCGGCTCCTGGCCTGGCACCTGCACATTGCTCCACCGGTGCCCGGGAATGTGACCAGACCACACCAACCGGCCCTGCTGTGGCACCAAGCCCAGCCCAGCCCAGCACCCCAAGTCCAGTCCCGGGGGGACAAACGAACCTGGTGTGTGATTTCATCAACGAATCCCTTGGGTGACACCAAAGGAGTCACTAAATGGCCCCTTGGCCACAAGATATGGATAGCCTGTGGCTACCAGGCTGGTGCCAGAACACTTCTTGGTGACATAACACCTCTCGCCCTGAAGGTGGCCCAAGGGACAGCCACCAGCCTGTCCCCAGCCCTGTGTGCCTGGGGTGGTGCGTGCCCGGGGTCAGCTCGGGAGCCACATTAAACTTTAATCCTTGCACCGTGGGGTCAGCAAAGGCTTTGGCAGGGCTCGGGGTGGGTGATGTGGGACCTGTCACGCTCTGTCATCAGTCAACCTCCACAGCATCGTTTATCAGGGAGCCTCCAATAAAAAAGAGCTAATTACAGCTGAAACCGGAGCCTGGCCTAGACCTGGCTCAGCACCAGGCAGCTGCATTAACCCTTCAAGGCTATCTCCAGTCCCACAGCCATCTTGTACCCTCCTGGACCTTCGTGTCTTCTCATGGTTACTCTTGTTCCATCCTGATCCTCACCGTCATCTCCTGGTCCCTGATGTCCTCTCCTGATGTACCCTCCTGTTCTCACCTTCCCCTTCTGGTCCCAGTGTCCCCTCCCAGCCTCCACCATCCCCTCCTGGGACTCACTGACCGCCCCTGGGCTCCATCATCATCACCTGGTCCTCATCATCCCTCTAGGTTCCCCTGGCCCCTCATTGACACCATTGTCTCCTGCTGATCCTCATCATCCCCTCCCAGTCCCCACCATCTCCTCATCCCCATCATTCCCTCCTGATCTTGTTCTCTCCTGGTCCCCATCATCTCCTCCTTGTCCCCATCACCCCCTCCTGATCCTTGTTGTCCCCTCCTGGTCCGCATCATCTCCCCTTCATCCTCATTGGCTCTGCTTGGTCTCCATCATCTCCTCCTGGTCCCCACGATCTCCCCTTGGTCCCCAATGTCTCCTGATTCCCATTGTCTCCTCTTGTTGTCCCCTCTTGGTGTCCACCATCTCTCCTTGGTCCCCATCATCTACTCCTGGTGCCCACCATCTCCTGTGGATCTCTTTTGTCTCCTCCTGGTCCCCACCATCTCCCCTTGGTCCCTGTCATCTTCTGGTCCCCACCATCCCCTCCTTGTCCCCACTGTCCCCTCCCATTCCCCACCACCCTGTCCCATCACTGGCAGGAGCTGGGCTGCCAGGACAGCGGTGCTTCCCTGGGTCACCTGATGTCCCCAACCGAGCTGTCCCCTGGCCAGGACACATCCACCAGCTCCCCATGGCTGGTGGGATTAAGCTGCTCCCAGCCACAGGTTTCAAGCATGTCGCTGGCATCTTTGGGTAATTAGTAAATTAGTAATTAAACGCTCTTCTCTGCCCGCTGTGGGGGGGAAGGGGGCAGATCCTGAGGTTTTAGGCTGGGTAATCCTG